ACATATACTGTTCACAAAAAATTGCTTTGATCCATTTAGTAAGTCGTTTTCTAGTATGATTTGATTAGAGTGCCTCTCTGATTTTGAAATCGTACTGACGTTTTTTTTGTGCTGTTTAGAATTGTATACGGGTGGAGATTTAGTAGGCATTGAAAGTGTTTCAATAAAGTGATCGCAGTTTATGGAGTTTCATACTCGGGTCCATATTTCATCTGTTTGTATATTTGAAGGTGTGATGTCCATTAAGTTCAGCGTTTTTCTCAGGCATAATATTTAACCATTGTTCTTACCGTTTAAATGAAAATGTTTTATTAATGGTTTTGTTTGAAAAGTCACCCTCTAACTGTTTATCAGGTGACAATATACAATACCATAAAACGACCCGTTTGAAAGGGGGTTCGGAAGACTAACAACGTTTCTAAAAAAAAAGAAAGCCTCACGTAAAAATGTACTTAGAAAACAACAAAATGTATAGAATATCCCTTCGTGAAAAATTGAGTACAAAGCATTAAACCAGTAATACATGCATTATAATGCCAACGATTTGGTTAATAAAATATCAAAGACACCCGTCAAATAAGAGCAGTCAAAAAAAAGGAATTGTAGACGGACAGACAGGGGCGACAACAATACATGTCCAAATTAATTGTTGGCGTATAAAAATAAAAACAATGGACGAAATATATTTTGTTAGCCACTCATTAATCACAATCATCATGTACTAATGTATATAAAACAAATTGTAAAAAAATATAATAACTATATATAGATGTTCATTTTGATAAATCTGATTTCAGGTCATGTATGTGTCAAGACAAAAGTTGACCTGTCACGTTGTATGGTTGTGACTTGACTATACGGCTGGTCCCCTGATCCATGCTCCTGATTTAATATATGTTTTTTTGTTCAATGCTTGTAGTTTGTGTCTTGTCCACAGGTTGATCTTAATAGGTTTTGTTTGCGTATTAAGGACTTACAACAAAAATAAATAACAGTCTGCATAATAATTATAATATTTACAAAAAGAACACGTACAAAATACACGTTACCGGTTGTCAGTTTATCGTTCGTGGAAAAACAATGACATATCTATTTTAAGGCCATTCCCTCGGTTCATAATTCTTGCTACCAATATTGAGAGACTAACTGAATTTGAGGACCCATCGTCAAAACTATAATAGGTTAAAAGTAATAAATGATTGCACCCCGGTGATGGGATTGGTTCAACATTCACCCTACTTTGTGAATGATCCACGTTCGCGATATTATATGTAACTCCCCGACCTATGTGTTATTGTGCACGGTGTCTGGTTATTGTGTCTGTTATATTTTCTATAAATACATACCAAACAGGGTATATAAGGCAATGTTCAGAATACCATACACAAGTCATTATAACTCTACAATGAAACAAAATCTAGTGTTAGCATACAAAAAAACCACAAAAAAACCAACCCAAAAAACCCACCAAAAATAAAAAAAAACCCAAAGACAAATAACAATAGATAAAAATGAACAATCAAACTTACAAAACACCCCAAACCACACAGACAATTCATTCTTTCTCGACAACATAAAGATCTAGTATTAACATACTATTCCCTCTTAACAATAAAAAAAAAAGAAATCGCTAAATCATCTTGTCAGTGGTGCAGGGTGAAGAGCCTGATAAGGGAAAAATGACATAATAACCCCCGACGAAGACCAGGCGGAAACACCTCTTAAAGCAATCTGCAATTTTGCGTCCGCATTATCCCGGTTTGGGCTTAATAGAACGTTAAAAAACATTTCACTTTTATTGTGAAGTATCCATTATTCTTGCAACAAAATTGTGGGTGTAATGATCACTTTTTTGCTTGTTACACCTGGGAGTTATCAATGCTACCATAAATATTAAAAGTAAAAGAAGGCTCGGATCGGACAAAGCGTTTATTCTCGTTGACATGTGTCTAAAGTTAAATCAGTATAATAATAAAGAAGGACGAAGGTACCGAGAAACAATATGTTAGAAAATACTGCACCCCTGCATGTGTATATATTAAAGTAGTGGGTTGGGGGTGGGGTCTTAAAAGGTTATATATAAATGTGAATATATTTATTTGCTTGACCGTTTATATCCCAGTTAAGATCAAATATCCAAAATAGCAGATTAGCATAATCTAGGTTAAACCGTGAACGGTATATTTATCCACCTAATACTATCAAATATCTTAACAATAGTTTAAAAGATGCTTGGTATTTTAGGAACTCGAACCACGACACCTAATAGAAATATATCACATGATGAATTTGAAATTGTAACAAATATGTATTCAAGATAATGACATGTTTAAAAGGGGAATGTATATATCATGAATATTTCAAGAAATAAATCTGCAGAAGATGACTGATAAACCGCTAAAATTGTAAACGAAAAAAAAAAGATACTATCATATAAAACCGGTTCCCTGTTGCAATTGAATACCGCTAAAAATAAAGGTCATAAAATTGAGCTCTGAGCTTTAAAATGGATTCTCATTGACTAGTGTTTTTTCCATGCCTAATTTGCAGCGTTCTGTTGGTGGGATAACTAAATAGGGGAGAGGTGTTTAAGGGCTGCATTTAAAAGACTTTTACAGATCTAATATATACGACGGACTGCTGATTTGCTACTGGAGATATTCAATAATATTCTGTTATTTTATAAAGCTAGAGTGGGGAATATATATTAAATCATACGCTTAATAACGAAATATCCACTGAAGGGTCAATTGACATACCTCTATTCACATTATATCAAAATGTCCACTTCATATTCATTAATTTCATTTAACTTCTCCTTTGTTGCTTTATTGACATCTTTAGATTGAAGGGGGTTATATTACGGTGGTTGGTTAGCCATGACTATTTACAGTCAACATATTTTCTTTTTTATCAATAGGCGACCACTTGTCTAAGAAGATAAGCAGAGATTGTACGTATCCAGTTTATTCATTCGAGTTCTAATCATCTTACTGACTATTAGTTATAAAAAAGAGAATTTTAATCGTGTATATTTTTACAGGTCATTGAAATATTACACCAAGAAAAACAACTCTGTTTACAAAGTAAAGGTAAAATAATACCCGAAAGTAGATGAATAATCTATAATTCACTTTGGATTTCTTTTATTTTCAAATTATATAAACAACGATGGGTGTTAAAATTGTGTAGCGAACCAACGATAATACACTGTTGAAGGTTGCCGTGGGTCGGGACAGTAACTTTACGACACAGACATATTCCTTAATCTTAAACTTAGATTCTTTTCATAATCTAATGGAAATTGAATTTCGCTTAATTCTCCAAACTAGAAGCTTCCCAACACTCAAAATGACTGGAAGGCAGAATATACAAAAACATATATTATGTACCGTTTTTCTAAGGATAATAATTTACATTTGTGATAATCTGTTAGTGGGCCGCTGGACACATTTTACTTAAGAAAAATGAGTTCCAACCAGAATCTCTAACCCAGTTCCCAATATTGGATCCCGGATGTCGAGAAATGTATCTCACGGGAAATGCATCTTTTGATGTTATAAAAGGATATGACAGTCGGTGTTAGTTTTCTATTCTTGGCGAATTGAAGATTTCAGAAAAATGTGTCAAGCGGATGAAATGAGGCTGGTGGTGTCTTGGTTACGTCAAATCGTGGATGGGGTTGCTACGCATGACTGACAGAACATCCACCCAAAGACCCACCTACAGGTTATTTATAAAGTTTGTGTGTACTGGCAATGCATCTATGCAATATCAATGTACGATTTGGATATGGTTCCTCAATAAGACTAGCCGAACAGCGCCACCAAATTAGAATTTAAAAGAAAAAAATGAATTGTGGTCAAACAAGGACGACGGCAATATCATACTTTTTTTTATAAATGTTTAACACCATCAAAATTCAGTCCTACGAACAGAAAAAAAAGATAAATTCTATGGGCAAATTAAAAAAAAACCAACCGATAACATATAATGCCCCCGTCAGACCGGGGATGTGTCATTACTGCGCTGCTGCGACCGTACGGCGACCAGAAAATGCACAGGTCGCGGACAAACGCGAACACAACGCAAGAAAATGTCCCGAAAAATTACAAACTTGAAAAAAGTCGCGTTCTCATAGCTTTCCAGTTCAGATCGCAGAAACTTGGCGTTTGTCTTGAACATGCTCAAAGCAAACGCCGTGACTCGGTGATCATTCGCAACCAGCATGGAGACCACAGCACGATAGCTGGCGTTTCTACCACGCCTATGGCGATCTTGACGCGCTCTAAAACCATTTCCCATCGCGTAGCAGCGCAGTAAGGACGCCACCCCGGTCTGACGGGGGTATAAGTACACTGAAAAAAAACTTGTGTTGAAAGAACACAAACTTGTGTTAAATTCAACACAAGTTAGGTGTCTCTATTTAACAACACAAACTTGTGTTAAAACAACACAAAACTTGTGTTAAATGTTGAAACAACACAAAACTTGTGTTAAAATGTATCAAACAACACAAAACTTGTGTTAAAATGTATCAAACAACACAAAACTTGTGTTGAAACTTGTGTGAAATCTACACAATACTTGTGTTGAAACTTGTGTTGAAATTTCTGAAACTTGTGTTGAAATTTCTGAAACTTGTGTTAAAATTTCTGAAACTTGTGTTGAAATTTCTGAAACTTGTGTGGTTTCATACAAACTTGTGTATAACCATCATCAAAAACTTGTGTTGTATTTTTCCCCAATTTATATCCAGCATAGCAACCTTTCTATGCAGGACCCCTCTCTTTGCTCTGTTAGACCTGTAAAGTTTGATAAAAGAAGGAAACAAAAAAAAAATTTGTAAGATTATTATTTATTCATAAAATCATAGGAAAAAGTAAATTAATACATCAAAACTAAATAGATATTTGAAATGTTAACAGAAAAACAGAGACTTCAATTCTAATACAAATTATATTGTGTTATATATAATGACCCCTCCCCCCCCCCCCCACTTTACCCATCACAAAATATAAAATAGCTATTTAAATTGTTTTTTGCCCCACACACTTTACCCATCACAAAATATAAAATAGCTATTTAAATTGTTCTTTACCCCAAAACAAGAACTGAGAATATAAAGATATGTACACAGTATCCCTACCCCATACCCCAAAATATATAATTCAAATATATCTAAATTTAATAACATCCAAACTAAGCACTAATAAGATTAATTATGCACTAAATTGAAACAATTTCAAAAACTGAAAAATGCTACAAAATCACACTACAAGTGATTTGTGAGGCATCTAGAAATAACTAGCATACACAGAAAACTAACAAAAGAAAATTGCTCTATTTTGCAGGAGTAATAAAATGATGTAGAGCCTTTTCCTCATTAAAAAACCCCCAAACAAAATGAATATTTTATAAATAAAAGAAGCAAAGCATCAAGATTACAGGATTGAAATAAAAAAATATCATATGTACAAAAGATTTATATACAATCACAAGTCATAAGCCACAGTGGTTCAGTGAGCATAAGGCGTTGGCCGCGAAATTTCAACTGGATTTTCCGGCATAGTTCCCACTTTTCAGTGTTGGATATGGCAAGGGATAATTGGGTACAAGCCCAGAATCAAAAGAGAGAGAGACAGAGAGAAATGGGGTTTAACATCTACTCGACACAAACTAGATCATTTTGGGATTAACATATGGTTTAATTTTATTTCAATAATTCGCTAGCGCGTAGGGGTCTTTAGCAGTGGGAGGAAACCGGAGGTCCCGGAGAAAACCCACAAGATTGGACAGGCGACCCTACTCCTTGTCTACAACCGGGGATTCGAAACCATGCCAGTTGACTCAATGACAGGAGGCCGTATGATACAGCATGCACGTGCTAACCATTCGGCCATCCACCCCCACCCCCCAGAATTGAAACCAACCCAATTGCGTACACTTTGAAGAACCCTTGAAAATTGAATTATTTGAATCAATGACAGACCTTCTGATCAAATGTGTGCGTGTTAACCATTCGGCCCCCCTGGGTACCCTTTAAAGAACCCTTGACAGTTGAAATATTTGATATAAGGGTAGGGTAGAATCACTCTAAGAACACAGAAAAGCAGGATATTAAAATGTATTTCATTTCATAAGCAAGGGAAAGTCACCTTAATGTAGGTCAAGGTTTTTTGTAATTCTGGGTGTATTTGATCTACATTTGGTTTCTAGTAATGCCTATTAAATACTTTATGATTTCCGACCAAATTCTAAGTGATTTATATGTCAGTTTACTTGCTATATTATACATACATATTTGAAGAGAATTAAAATCTAATTGTGTTTTGGAAGAAAATTTAACATTAATAACAAAAAATAAATATTTAAAAATTGGGTCAAATGCATTCTTTCCCAGAAGTATAAAATAAATTGATGCTTGGGTTCTCTTGTTGTTATCATACACCAAATACTCTTTCAAGGGTGTTCCAGCCTAAAAAATAAAAAGTAGGCAATAAGAATACAATGTTTAAATAAACAATTTATTTTGCCACATCGAGACTGAGTCTCTATTTGGTTTCAACTTTGCGTAACGCTTATTGTGTCTTGTCCACTTAAAGACCCAGGCAGATTATTATGCTCAAATCAAATGGGTTAAAAGTCAGAAAAATGAAATGAAATGGGGTTTAACGTCCTACTGTTCTGCTCCTATACTGGGCTAATAATGACGGGCATATGCCACACAGTGTGCTATGAGGGAATTTTTGCCCGGGCAGCGGCACTATCATCTATTCTTATATCGAATTCCAACTGCCAGGGGATCTTTTACGTGCATTCCAATATTCGTCTCATCGGAAGGACTAGACAGCTGTCATTGTCAGGCCAAGTCAGAAAAAAGTCTTGAGATTTGGGACTGAAGTCTCATAATAGGTCAACTATTCACCCGGTTCATACATGTATTGTCTGCAAGTCCAGATTCCCTACTACATCATTGGCAGCACCTATTTACTTGGCAATGTCTAATTATTTTTGGACCCATTCTTATTTTATTTCCATTGACAACAAATTGGATATTACCCTTTAAAATCTATTGAAATCTATTTGAAAAGTAAAATATTGTCCATCATTATTTTACTGCTATTTACTGTAATGGATGTGATTGGCAAAAATCAAGCATGCCAAGTACTTGAAATAGCTGAGTCCTAGGCATTGCCCCAAGAAGAATAACTAGATTACCAAGCAAGTGTATAGAACTAGTTGATGATTAAAAATACAAATATGTATGTTACTTACATTTTACCTGATTATCAAGCTCTGTGAGAAAAAGTTTCCATAATATGAATAGCCATTTTCAACTGTCTTGATCTTTCTGATGTAGTTAACGGAGAAAAAAAACATACTATGTATTAGTTGACTTAAATCGACTCGACGGTTAAAAGATGAAAGTTTTAATTTAATTACATTGTATTGTAATGTGTTGGTTTGCTTTGTCACAGATGAGACAAAATGAAAAAAATGAAATGGAATGGGGTTCGGCGTCCTACTGTTCAGCTCCGACTGGGCTAATGAGGTTGGGCATATGCCATACAGTGTGCTATGAGAGAAATTTTGCCGGGTACCGTGACCCTAAGGCCTACTCTTGTATCAAATTCTAACTGCCAGGGGCTATTTTACATGCACGCCAATGTGTACACGGGACCACGTTTTTTTGTTCAATCTGAACGACTAGACAGCTGTCCTTGTAAGGCCCTCCGTTCTGCATTGTCTTACTGCAAACCCGCGACCTTAAAATATGCGAACCAGTGTCTAACCCACTTGGTCACCGTAGGTCCCCACAGATGAGATAGTCATATCTACATGTATCTGGACATAAGTAAGATTCTGTCTGTGCACATACATGTACTTCACAGTTTTACTATACTAAACTGAATTTTAAATTCCAAATAATAAAATGAAATTAAGGTTTATGTCACATCAGCTCCAACCGGGCTATATTGTGCCAAACACATTATGGTGAGATTCTAAAATACCACAACAACAATCTTTTCTATTAGAATTGAACACTCACCCTCAAAAAACAACTATGAGAAATCATAGGTGCTCAAATCACCATTTCTTCAGCTCTTTTTTTTCCCATATTTGGGTTTTTTGACTTATTTTATTATATGATCTTTGATTTGCTATGGCATCTAATATGGAAACTGAAAAATATAAATATGTGACATGTAATTAACTGTTTAAGATACCTTACCATATACAAACTGTGTGATATCTAAAACCATTTGAATCCCGAAGATCTTACCGAAGACGTGAAAATCTGTTTTAATAACCCTTGTTTGTCATGTGACTGGACTGTCACAGTAATTAGAAGAGAGCCATGTGGCTTAGTGTGTAAGGCACTGGCTTGCTACCCGGGAGTTTGTAGGTTTGCTCCCAGTGTTGACCGAGAAAGCTCATTTGGATTTTTCAGCATGGATTCCCTGTCTAGTCGTCATGGTGGCTAAGTGGGTAAGACGCTGGCTCGCTAGCCTGGAGGTAGGGTGTTCGATCCCTGCATTGGCCGAGAAAGTTCACCCAGATTTTCCGGCGTGGTTCCCCCTTGTCAGTGATGCAGGATGGAGGGCCTGACAAGGACAGTTGTCTAGTCATTCGGATGATACGAAAAAACGAGGTCCCGTGTACACGTTGGCGTCCACGTAAAAGATCCCTTGACAGTTGGAATTCGATACACCGCAGTGCCGCTGTCCGGGCAAAATTTCCCTCATAGCACACTGTGTGGTGTATGCCTGTCTTCATTAGCCCAGTTAAACCCCATTTCATTTCTAGTAGTTTCAATGGAACACAAAACCTGAGGTCCAATTGGCGTGCATTTAAGCCGATAGTATGGTAGTTGGAATTTGTTGGCTGTAGCACCCGTGTCACAGTTCGACTGCTAGTTTGTGATACCCACTCGATATAAATGAGTGGTGATTGGCTAATGAATTCTAAAATCAGACGAATGCTTCGGCGAAGCGGACAGCAGGACACACCACTCAAATACAATTCGACCAAATATATTAAACATGTTTGATTCGGGCGTATGTCAGTGGATAAACTAGGTGAAGTTTAGCGCCAATTGATTCAGCCGAATCCTTTGGCTAGTTTATCCAGTACTGACGATTTAAGTTTGTACTTTCTTTATATGCAAATATCACATTTGAAAGAGGCTGTAGGCCTACTTTCTTTATATGCAAATATCTTATTTGAAATAGGCCATTATTATGTGATTCCCCACTTGAATGTGACTAGGAATAAGGTCGCCTGTCCAGCCTTGTGGGTTTTCTCCGGGTCCTCCGGTTTCCTCCCTTTGCTAAATACCCCTAGGGTGTATTCGAAACAGTGTTCCGGTGCAGAGAACGGACGGAGAATGGGTTCTTGTCGGACTTGAGCAGTCTGGAATGCGTTCACGAACACGTTCCCGTTCTCAAATCCCACACTACCTCATAGCTGGTGTGAGGGAGAACAAACATGGTCGACGCATCGATAACTGCTGAGAAAACAGCATCATGGGTGCATTTATTAATTTAAAAGTTTAATACCGTTCGAAAATTGGATGTAGTATGTGGCCAGTATAACATCAAATAAGTTAGGTTGCCAGGCAACGAAACATATGCCCACAGCAGTTTAATCGTTTGCTCAGTCAACAGGGATTGTCGCATATTCATTCTTTTGTAGGTAATGTGGGCATTTACAAGAAAAGATTATAATTTTTGTCGTTTGTGGGTTTACAAAGGTTCTACAAACTGAAACAAGGGCCTTAATTGTTGAAATTTGACAGATTTTTTTGTTTTGTGTTTTACTAATTTAAATAATGCATACAAATCGGATGATAATTTTGTTGTTCGCGCGTTCACAAGGTTCGAAAAAGTGAAACAAGGGCCACAACTCTAGACATAATTCACGGAAATCACAGAAATTTAATAGACGTCTTCGTTTTACTAATTTAAAAGATGCAAATGAATTTCACAAAGTGAAACAAGGGCCATAACTCCAGAAGAAACTAACGGAAATTATTGAAATTAAATAGGATTCATCTCATTAAAATAAACAACATATCAATTTCAAAATAATCAGGTCTGTAGACGACGGACAAACCTACGGACGAGGGCGATGACAATATGCGACCACATTTCCATGTGGGCGTATCAAAAGGTGATGTAATCGTCATCCAAAGAATTGAAAAGGAGTAAAATGGAGTCATAATTTATCATAAGTATGCCTAATAGCGAAGTCAATACCAAACAAGTTATCGTAACAGATTGTATAAATTTAATTCATCTTGTTACCATGGATACCGTTCTCTCATGTTCGAGACTCATGAAAGTGTTTTCATGTTCTTCAGCTGTTCTCGAACCTGCGCGAACACTGTTTCTAATACACTCCTACGGTACGCGCAAGCAAATCATTCAAAAAAAATTGAACAATATTAGCCTCAAAATTACCTAGCGCCAGTAAGTATAAAGGATCTATCCGACAAACACTAACAACAACTCTAGGTTTATGCAGAATTAATATAACACAACATACACAGATGGCAATAGAATGAGACAGTGTTCAGGAAAAGGGCGGAAACGGAAGAAGACTACCCGTCCTACTTGATTCTAGGACATAAAGCATGGGCCTACTTGATTCGACCTTGTCTGCGATATCACCTCGGTGGAAGCGGACGTAAAATACAACTAACCCATCATTGATTCGACCAATTTAATACAAGGAAATGAATGGCATAGTTTGTGTCAAGTGAATTTAGTGAATTTTAAACCCCATTTACTCGCCCTCTCTCTACAGAGATAAATACTTTTCCTGTTACATACAATAACAATTATTGGCCATTATTTAAAAAATATATTAAAAGGAAATGAAATTCTGTTACCTGTTTTTCTTTGTGTAGTACATATGCTAACATCAATGACTGGAAAAAAAATAACGAAACTGTAGAGAAACTTCTGAATCATTGAAAGTCTAATTATTAGGCCTACACATTGATGACATTGATATAAAAAAAAGGCTGATTTGTTTGTTGTTGTTTTTTTCTTTTACAGAAATATTAAGATTACATTTCAAATAAACAACTAACACAAAAGTTAGTATCTAGCTATAGTCCATGTCTGGATATACATTTCTCCTTTTTTTTGGCCCGAACGTCTATAAAAATCAAAGATGGCGGCCAATAATTGCAACCGGGCATTACTATAAAATCAAGACAGATTCTTACCTGCTGGTCCTAGTCGGGGGTTTCTTGCAATTATAAGTATTTGAACAACGGTGTAGCGCCGATTAGCTAATAATAATTAAGCACGATTTCAGAAAAATTAAGACAGATTCATTAGATTGCTGAATTAGCGGAACACTTTTAGAACACATCAAAAAAAATTTCTTTGTGGCGCCATTATATAAATAGAATTCCGGTGCAGTCAGTGGCAGTGGTTCTAAATCTGACTGTTTTAAACGAAACGAATTATTATATACATAGAAGCAATATATACATGCTAAATTAAATACACGGTTTTATTTTTTGTAAAAATTTACAAACCTGCGGTCTGGTATTCTATGTGACCATTATAATTTTTTTTTAAAAAATATCACGGCTAAAGCACTCTGTTGATGCTAACGTCACTACATCTAACTGAATGTCGCTGATATAATATCAAAGAAAGAATTTGTCGCAATGACTAAAGTATAGATACTTCTTCTTAGTTAGTTGTATTTTACGCCCGCTTCCACCGAAGTGATATCGCAGACAAAAAGTATAGATAACTTGGAGAACCATTATATCAATAAGTCGATTATGAGATACACGTGGATGATCAATTAAATTTGATTGGTTACTTTTCAGTTAACCAATACTGTCCAATTTCGATTACATCAACCAATTACATTATTAAGAGTTTTACTCATTTTTTTTGTTCATTGCACATTGAATCAATTTTCGAAAACACCAGGGTGCTGAAAATCACATGTACACTATATATTCATTTGGTCTATCAGTTTATTGGGTCAATAAAAAAAGACAGACATTTTAACTATACAGACAACTTAACACCAATTAACATTCAAGTCTGTCTGGCAATTGTCTGATTAATTGGTACTCACTCCCTTCCAGTGATTTTCGAGATGTGAATTAAGCCCTTTATTACTTTTCTTAAAACTTGACGACTCCCGAATTCAGACTTTGTATGGAGTTTTTTTCTTAAAAAGAAAACAAATCGTGGAAGGTACACATTACTTGTGTTAATGATATGAAAAAACACACAAGATTTTATAAATCGACACAAGTTTGTGTTAATGCAATGCAAAACAACACATAACTTGTGTAGATTAGTTTTAACACAAGTACTTGTGTTGAGATCCAACACAAGTGTTTTTTCAGTGTAATTATTTTCAGTAATATAAATTTCTGTTGACAATCGTATGACTGAATAAAAACAACAAGTACCATAACATGGCGTTTTATCTATAAATACTGTTTAAAGGGTTGTCTTTGATAATGTAACCCAAAACTTTGTTTATGTTGAGCCCCATGAAGTATCGAGTGAAAAGCAAACGATCTATTAAAAGCCTGTGATATTTAACTGAAGTAAGCCATTACGAGTCCGCGTGGACATACCGCGTGTTGACTATTCAGTCGATAGATAAATGAAAATGAAATGAGATAGTGTTTAACGTTCTACTTTTCGGCTTCGTCCGGGCAAATGAAAAACCGCCATACTCCATACAGAGTGCTATATGGAAATGTTGCCCGTGCAGCGGTGCTACGTCCTATACGTCCAAATGTCAAATATATGTTTACGATCACGCCAATCTATGCACTGGAATTCGATTTGTCGTACCATCCGAACAACTAGATACTGTCAAGGTCAACTGACAAGACGAAAGCACGCCGGAAAACCCCGAGGAACTTTCCGACCAACACCAGATCCTCTGCTTAGCGAGCCAGTGTCTTACTTGATATATGAAAACAGGTACACCATGTCTGTACCTACACATAAACAGTTCGACATAATCTTAGATTTATTAAAGGGGCTATCCCGATTTTAACAGAGCCTCAAAAATAAAAGTCCGTGTACATATGAAATTTAAGCGCCAAAATATAGAGGAATGGTGTATTTACCCTGTCTCCAAATTTCAGCTCAAAATATTGAGTCGTTGGGACGTGAACGTCAAAGCCGCTTACCTGGACACGTAACCCTTTTAAGATTTCGGGACAATTTTTTCATTGGGTGACCTGATAATCGATTGCCGTTCCTTTAGAGGTCTATACAGTGCATGACCGACGTGCTGTACTTGATAACGGTAAATTTCACCTAAACGTTATTTTTATAAAATAAAAGTCTGGTTTTATCCAGACACCGTATAATACAACTTGGGACACCGGTCTCCATTTCCAGACGAAGACTGACGGGTTTAAGTTGTTTGAAAACGTATCACATATTGAGTTAGTTGCTCGGCCTTAAGGTAGAGGATTTTAATGATTTTTTATACAAAACTAAGCAGTTTTATTCTCCAAAATATTATCGGGATTTGCCCTTTAAAGATAATCCATATGTTATAAAAAGTTTGAATAATATATTTTTCAAAGCCCATTAAGTGAGCGATTGGCCCAAGTAGTACACTTGTTTTTATATATAAAAATTCCATTGCATTATCAGAATCTATTGTGCAATTTCTGTCTTTATATATCAAAACATATTAGATTTTAGGGCGTGATAGTTCATCATTTCAGTTTTCTCACTGTATTTGAAAAGATGAGTTCTACTTGAATAAATACTGGTCTTGACCTAAAATTGAGTTACTGTAACAAGAATCATGGACATTGTTCATATTTCTTGATGCGTTTCGCCCCTTTTAGTTTTATGTATAGACATTTTTTCTGATCTTATATAATATTACATCTTATTGTAAATGTGTATTTTAAAATAACAAATATATATTCTATATTCAGATATAAAAAGGTACTCCACGTTCTAGAACGTTATTTCTGGGGATGTAGTGTATTACAGAACATTGTGTCTGGGTATAAAGGGTATTCTAGAATGCTATTTCTGTTGATAAATGGTATTACAGAACATTGTTTTTGAGTATGAAGCGTATTCTAGAACGTTATTTCTGGCGATGAAAGGTATTACAGAACATTGTATCTGGGTATGAAGAGTATTCTAGAACATTATTTCTTGTGATTAAGAGTATCGCGTCACATGCCTATTACTTACCAGTGAACTTACTAAATGTTTCGACTACCTTCTACATTTTACAACATGACCCCAGCACTACTTGCCATACAAACAAATAGTCCTGCTTTTAGCGAACCCGCTGCTTCCATCCTTACCAGCAGTTATTAGCAGTGTGGCAAGTTTCAGAGTAGTGGGGATCGAGTGGAATTGAAATATTGGTGTTACTTTTGGTTTATATTTTGTAACATTATGGGAGATAAGCATATTTTGTTTTAATCGCAGACTAAGATTATGCTGATAATCTATTGTGAACGACTTAAATTTTTTTATAAACATGTTTGTGTTTTTCTTGTTAAGTAAATAAATGAACTTTGATTCGGGAGTAAGATATGCGTCTAAATCCTCTCTTTACATATATATATGTACAAAATATAAAATCGTAAGCTTCTGAAATCCAGGTCCAACAATCCATCAAGTTACGAGTAATGTGTACAGTGCAGGGTATTCTTACCCTTACTATTACAACATTTAATTGAGAACATCGCTGTGAATCTTTTCCGCAGTTACTTTGTTCGTTCACTAAATTTGATAGTTCGCTTATGCCGTATGATGTCTGCTGTTTTTTGTCTTGTCCGGTGTGAGTTTCTAGTTAATTATTGTCCGTGGTGCTATAATACCTGTATTTTATGTTCACAAGTATTTTTTTCTTGTTGTTGGTTGGGGAGGTGGGGGGGGGCATTAGGTCTGTCATTTAGTCAAGTGACGTTGTTTCGATTCCGCTGTTGTACGTGACAAGGAGATGTTGAAGTAAATTTTAACCACATGTTACTCCCAAAATGACCTAATTTGTGTGGAGTAGACGTTAAGCCCCATTTCTCTCTTTCTCATAACTATTTGTATTCGCGCAACACACCATTTTCGACAGTATTCAAATTCTTGAGATAGTATGTCGTATTGGTTATTCAGACTTTTCTATTTTGATAATAATAATTGGTTATAATTCTTACCGATCGGCTATTACAGTTTCTTTGAAGACATCTAACATGACACTTGTTGACCACTCTTTCTTTGGATTAACCTCTTAAATGCCAATATATCATATTACTTGACCATTTGCAAGTTTATTGGGCGTGTTTCGTTCATAAATCATTTTGATTATATAGAAATTATGTACATATAGACACAGCATCTTGAAATAAGTTATATTTAATAAAGGGTGTTTCAGACTGAAAGTAGACTGTGTAGATTTATTTTAGTATAAACTGGGTGTTGTAGGGTAAGACACGCACACGTCAGTAGTTTTAAGACACCGAATATAGATTTGGCTACAGTAAGTTAATTTGGATAGCTATTTGTGGCTAGTACTTAGAGGTTAATAATTGAAATGAAATGTTTTGGGGGTTTAGCGTCCTACTGTTCTGCACTGACTGGGCTAATGAAGATGGGCATACGTTATACGAAAATCTTGTCGGGGCAGCGACACTGGCCTTCTCTTATATCGAATTAAACTGTCAAGGGTTCTTTTACGTGCACCCCAATGTGTACATGGGACCTCGTTTTTTGTCCCATTCATCCTTCACGACTGACAAGAGGAACCATGCCCGAAAATCGTTATGAATTTTCTCGACCAACGCAAGGATCGAACATTCTATAATGCATGTTATCGAACCAACGTCTTACTCACTGAGCCACCATGGGTCCGAGTGGTTAAATATGAATTATGATAATATATTGGGGGTTGGGTGGCCTATACTCCCTGTTTAGATGCACCTTCACAACATAGTATAGGGAAAAGTTATTGGGTATATTTTGGACCATAAATGGTCCCCGGGCGTTACTCATCTTTTTGTTGCTCTTGTAAATGAAATGAAACGAACTGGGGTTCAGCGTCATATTCTTCTGCACCGACTGGACTATACAGTGTACTATGAAGGAAATTTTAGCCTTGGCAGCGGCGCAACGGCTTACTCTTACTTCCATTTCCAATGGTCATGGGTTGTTATACGTGGAAGCCAACAGTCCCATACGAACGAACAACTAGCTGCATATCACACGACATGGTCTACTATTTTCATACATTAATCCTAGAATACTCTTCATCACCAGAAATAGTATTCTAGAATACACTTTATACCCAGAAACAATGTTCTGTAATACGCTACATCACCAGAAATAACGTTCTAGAATACTCTTCATCACCGTGAATAACGTTCTAGAATACTCTTCATACCCAGAAATAATATTCTAGAATATTCTTCATATCCAAAATACCCTTCATCACCATAAATAACGTTCTAGAATACTCTCCATCCCCATAAATAACGTTCAATAAATACTTTTCATCACCAGATTCAAAGTTCTGTAATACTTTTCATCATCAAACATAATGTTCTGTAAAACCCTTCATCACCAGAAATAATATTCGAGAATATTCTTCATCACAACCAATAATGTTCTAGAATACTCTTCGTCACCAGAAATAACATTTTATAATAACCTTCATCATCAGAAATAACGTTTGATGATAGAACATTATTTCTGGTAAATCAGAATGTTCAAGGAGCTTAACGTACGCTTTTGGTTTTCAATAATTGGGTGTGTTTATAATTATTCTGTATATTATGACATGAAATTAACTACATTTTCTTTTTCGGTTAGAGAAATAATTACTCTTTAAAGATGAAAACTCAAATCAATTCACATTATGATACAAAAAGTGCACTGGTCGTTTTCTATTTATCTGATTGTAGTTAAATTGTCCTTTAAAGTATTAAAATATATAAGTTATATTGTGGTACTTCTATATATGGCCGTTTAAACTGTCTTTTAGCGCATTACTAAAACTAATGTTGATATTTCAAAAGAATAATCTCTTGTCTAAAATTACAAATAACTTCATATTTGTGTAGGAAAACGATTACAAATGTTCGTTGTACAATATGCATCTCAAGCTTTGTCATTATATAGGTCTTTAAATATTGCGCAACCGGGACAAAAATTGTCAGGAATTCCGCCGACCTGTAAACACCGTATCAAGTACGCAGAGCTCGCTAGAGCCACTCCTCCCGATCAGACGGCATCCCACTAAGGTCATCCCATCTTTTCCAAGATGTAGAACAAAACTATACACATGTCGTGTACAAAAATGAAAACATCGCCATGAAAGACTCAATC